TGGCCATAGTTTCCGATTTATTTTCAAGATCAATAAAAAAAAAAAGCTATGTTGTATTAATTATCATTAATAAAAAAATTTCTCATCTATTATTTTTTATATTTAACTCGTTTAATTTTATGTGAACCTTGCTAAAACTTTGTGGAATGTTTAGTTGCATTTTTTTCTCGCATGATGAATATTTTTTTAATAAATGTACAATCGTAACGTGTCAATTCAATGTATTTATATCATCGCCGAGATTTTTAAGAACTTTTTTTAAGTATCGATTTGTGTACATTTTTTATTTTTATTTTTAAAATTATTGTAAAAATAGTTCAAATATTTGAAAAATTACAATATTTTAAATAAAAGATAATAAATTAACTAGAAATATTTTCAAAAATATGTCACAATTAAATATCAATGCCTTGGATATGTTATAAAGAATTCAAATATGTTTTTAAAATTAAAAATGGAGTATTTTTGTGAAAGTTCTATTTAAATTAGCAAATTAAAATTATTTCCAAGTTTCTGGTGAAAAAAAAATGATAAATTTGCGGTTGTATAGTATGCAATCATTGCTACTACTGCGGCAGTGTTCAAACTCATACTTATACTCCCATACGCACATATAAATAAAAAGGTACCGCATAGGATGTTTATTACGGTTTACAAATATCTAAATTTTCGACAGTAAAATAAAAATATTACTGAATATTTATTTTTAATTTTAAAATTCGTATTCTTAGTACTGCATTTAACATCAAATGAAACCACATATTGTAAAATGGCCAAACTTTAGCTGGAAAACATATAACGGATTTAAGCATTTTTTTTTCGATTAAATTAATGATTTTCGAGATAAAATTGTTATATTTTAAGTTAGTATAAGCGTATAATAAATAAGACGTACTTTTCATTAAATCACGTTGCAGCTAAATATAATTTATTTTGTATGAACCTATGAAATGTAAATATTTTGTAATTTATAAATAGTGTTACGGGTGTATTGTAGGCTATTGGACGATTCAATTGATGTGACATTTAATAGTCTTCAACTACAGTTTACCATTACCACGACTATACTCAGTTCGTCAAGAGACCGGACCACTTTGCGTATCTGACTGACGGAAATATGGACTCTTCGTCAAAAATCCCCTATCCGCCAACTAAAACTATTTTATATACAAAAATAGTTCAAATAAACAGCTCTGTGATGCGGAATATGGTCGAATATAACATAATATCACAGATCACAATCACTACAATAAAACGTGACACGATAACTTGCCATCACTTTTAAGTTTAAAGCAATAGGTTATAATTAGGCGGGCCATAACCGTTAAGTGTTGTAGGGAGAAACGACGAGTTTTCGTTCATCGTGCTGCAGGTGCAGTCTCTCGACGAATTAGAATAATAGGAGTGTACCCAGAGTAATCAATACTATTTTTTAATAATGAACTTTGAAATATTTTGAAATAGGTTAATCATATTTTAAAATGAGTAGGAAGTTTAAATCAAAATCCAGAAAACTTCTATTGCAAAGAAAAAAACACAAAGGAAATGTAAACGTTTATACTAAAAATTCAAACCAATCGACAGAATCAGATAGTTGATTTAGAATATACTTTGTGAGTGGTTTTATACATAATTTTATACGTAATTAAAATTACGAAAACGAACTGTTAGAAAATAAAAAAGGTAAGATACTAAATATTACTATACTACTACATTTTGGAAAATATTTGATATTGTTCTAACAAATTATCTTATAAAATATGCAAATATTATTGGACCGTTAAAATTATTTTTGAAGTTAAACTTCTTTACGCAGGGTAGTGAGGAAAAAAAAAAGCGAACGGGCGGCCGTACGAACGCAAACGCGTACATGTCGTTGTGCGCAGCCGCGGATTGTCGTAGCTGTATTTTGTAAACGGCTATGGGTTGTGTCATTAAGCGACAGTATTTTTAGTTGGGTTATTAAACAAAGAATACTCAACAATAATATTAATGAGATAAATATTTAGATAAAAACGGAATGATCGTCCGAGATGATTTCATACGGTCGTCGGGGCGGCGGTGCGAAGCGTATCAGTACGTCATATACATAATATCACATAATAATAATAATATTACGTATTATAAATTATTATGTTGGACGGTGACAGCTGATGCGGTTTCGACGACGACGACGACGATGATAATAATAATACCATACACGTGCAGTTGCGACTTGCGATTAAAGGTCCAGGTCGTGTGGCGAGCCGGTTTTTCGATTATTGGGTGGGTTGAAGTGGTGGTGGCGGCGGCGGCCCGCGTTCCCGTGGTGGCTAAGTTGTACACGTATCCAGACAGTGTGCTTTTAGCCATTGTTATTAATATAATAATATTGTTATTAAGTAATAAGTAGTTCCTAATTCCTATTTTAAATTTTAATGGTTACTTCGATTTTTACGCGATATATCGATAATGTTCAGTCGCAAATGTACGTTTCCTATTTTAGTTATCATATGCCAATCATAACTACTATACCAATTGAGCAAAATGATAATCAATCATTAGAATAAAAAAAATATAAAAAATATAATTTACATTGTTTCTTTACTTTCTTTATTATCCTCATTACCCCATTCTATCCATGCCTTACTTTCTTTTTCACTCACTCAGTGAGTACCGCTCAAAAGAAGTTTAACTTCCCGCGCGCGTACTGGTAACACACACACGAGTTTTTTAAATTTTATTAAAATTCAGTTAAATTACGTATTACATTTTATATGTTTAACTATAAAAATGTATTACTAGAAACTATTACATTCGGTAGTTTGGAATTCGGACATATTAATGTTTTAAATTTGAAAGGAATGATGAGTCTATTGATCTATTGCTGTGTTTTTTTTTTTTTTTTTTCGTGGATATAGGTACCTATATTATAAATGATAAGTTGTCTATAAAATGATGAAATTTTCAAAAAATGAAGGTGATTTTGAAAATTAGGTAAATTGAATTTAGTTTGTACTTCAGAGAAATCTATAAAAATATTTAAATATAATTTGGAAAACAGACAAAAATTTTTTAAAAAAAACTTAAAGAAGCAAATCAAATTTTTGACCAAATTGATTTCGTTTTATTGGTATAATTAAAAAAAAAAAAATAATAATAACCGTAGATACTTGAATTTTTTCATAAAATGTTTATATTATAATATTTTAACCTAACTTTTGCTAACAATTAAAAATAATATAATTTTGTTTTTATATTTTTATAATATGATTAATTGTTATTTAAAAATACTTATTTAATTGTAAGAAGATTTTAAAAATTATTTTTTTTTTTTAAAGATAAAAACCTAATGGTTTCTACTGATTTTTTTTTTTGTAAATACAATTTTCGAAAAAAATTAAATAAACGTATAGAATGTACCGAATAAAAAAAATAATAATAATAAATAAATAAATAAATAAATAAAATATAAATTAACAGAGCGAAAGTTTATAAAATTTAAATATTATGTTCGTTATAAACTTATAACCTTTAAATAATGTAATAATTTTTTTTTTTTTAAATGCAAAAAAAAAAATATACAATTTTACAATAATAAATAAAAATACATATAAGGTTTAAGTTTGCAACTACACTTAAAACATAAAGCTTGTTGGGGGGTAGGGGTATATATATTTGAGTTAGCACAACATAAAACAGTTAAAATAATGAGAATATGAGATATAGTGATAATGCATGAGTATGAGGGTCATAGCAAATTCGTTTCTTCTTAGGTTCTTCTGCCTTCTCGCATCTTAATAAACTCAATAAATTACAAACTTCTTGCCCAAGATCCATCATTGGTGCTGTAAAATCTACCCTCTCTCCTACTATTGAGGTCGGAACTTCATGCTAACCGTTTCATATTAAAGCTAGATGGCTTGCCGGTAAATTCTTACTTAAAAAATATTATCTAAATAAAGAATCCTATATTTTCAATATCTTCCTCGAAATTTATTACTCCTGGCACTATGTTCAAAAGATTTTCTCAATTCTTGCCTTGACAGCACATTCTCTCAAAGATACGCGTAATTATATTATCAATACAAACAAGCTTCCACTTTATGAAGTTAATTTCCTATATTTATTACTTTTCACTAATACTCACATATACAAAGATTTCTTTAATCATTCGTGCAATTTTTTAATATCTTCACCACCTAATTATGTCAATAATATTTTTCTCTTTATTTATATTTCTTAACGAGAGCGGGTATGGATATTCAATTTTTATGTGTCCCAGGACATACTGGTATCGCAGGTAATGAATTCGTTGTCAAATTAGTAAAAGCCTCGGCATCTATCAGGTGCCCTCCGAGCTCCAAAATTCCATGGTCTGACTTTATCCCTAACCTTAGGATTTGCACAACCAACCTATGGCTTAAATATTGAGAATCATTCTCTCCTCACTTTGCTACTTTGCTATTCTTTGCTTATTTGTTAATAATTCATGTATTATATTACCCATGTTTTAATCTTGTTTGTTAACATTTTTTAATTTTTGAAACTAATTTTAATAACAAAGTTTAAATAAAAAAAAATAAAAAATATTATCATATTAACATATTATTATGAATATTATACATTATTAAATAAAACTACTTATAAATCGACGTGATCAATTCCTCATCAGAGTTATAAAGTGGTCTACACTTACAAACGTAGTTTAAAGTATGCTTACTAGTATTTAACGTATTTTTAAATTATATGTATCTGAAATTACTTTTATATTAAGTAGCCAGTAGGTATCTACTTATATTGTTATGTATAATTTTTGGAAGTATCTCAATTTTTGGAATACTTATTAGTCTCTAACTAATGCAATTATTGTAATTTTATTTAAATATTATATTTTCTAATACGCGATAATGTACAGTACATACTAATTTCTGTTTTGCTAAATATTGAACATTAAAAACCGTTGTAATGAGTTGAGGTAAATATGTAAATAATCGTTAAACAATAATGATATTTTTCAGAGCTCCTGTTATGTGGTTAATTGTATGTTGTTGCTGCAATTTATTTACAAGACGACTGGGGCAGGATGTTCTATGGATCATGGCAGTGGGATGAATTATCCAACGACCACTGCAAGTGGAACATGGACAACTCGCGGCGGGATATCTTCTTACGGCTGGGACAGCAGACAACCTATAGATCCTTGTAGCCGTTGTACAAATGTTCCTCCGCCATTGCCTGGATCTCAGTACACAACACAATCCCATGACAATGGGATGTATAGTGTTAACGACCGTATTAGTGTCAGTGGTTACATGTCAGACAATCGGGTTTCTGTAAGCGGTTACATGGCGAATAATCATGGTAGTGCGAGTACGCATGGTTCGGATAATAGATATTCCGGTTATGGTTCCGATAACCGAGGTAATGGTTATGGAAATGACAATCGTGACCATCCGAATAGTCGACCCAATGGTTATGATTCAATCGGTTATGTTACTAGCAACGGTTATATGTCAAATTCAAATTACGCTGGTAATAGTCACGTTACTGATAATCATGTCCAAATTTACAACACTCATAACGTAGACAATAAAATAAAAAATCCCAATTACCGTGGTAATGGTTACGACAATTTAAGCCCAGAATGGGAACGAAGACACAACAATAAAAAACTTAGTGTTATTAGTGGCAGCAATAGTTATGGAAGTGGTATTGGTAGTGGTGGTAGCTATGGAGGTGTTATAGGAGGGGGTAATGGCTATGGAGACAGTATCAGCGTAGGTGGTAGTTATGAACATGGTACTAGTGGTTCAGGAATCGGCGGTATTGGATATTATCAAGGAATGTCGTATCCTGTTCCTAATATTCCCGACAGTCATAAAACACATGTGCAGAGCAATTACCATAAGCCGTCCAACGATCGGTGGGGTATCAAAGGAGCACATCCAGTGAAAGTAGAATCAGGATATTGGCAGAGCCAACCACCTAAAGATATTGGCTGGGATGAGGCAAGCAAAAAGATGGGAGTGATAGCAGGATGGATTGGTGGCCCGAAAAAATATGAGTCAAGCAAACCTTCAATAGCATACGGTTCGCATCAGGAAAATGACAAAGATGACAACGATTACTACAACAAAGGAACCAGTTACGAAAACAATTCGGACCGAAAGAAACCTTATATGGGTTGGGGAGGTTCTGGATCGTACGAGGTGATAAAAATGAACAACGGGTACAAATATATTGACAGAAATAGTAACAGTGATTATGGAATTTCTTACGGAAACGGTTATAAGTACGGGGGGCAAAGTTACAATAACAAACCAAGTCAAGATTACGGATTAAAACCAATGAACGTCGATCATGGTAGACCATACGACCAAAGTAGGCCTTACAGCTATGGTACTTTGCACGGATATGATAAACCAATAAATGATTACGGAAAACTCACACTCAACTACGGTAATACTAATGGACAAGGCTATGGTACTCCAACTACTCATGATTATGGTTCTAGTCCACATATTGATTTACAGAGTACATCACGTCCAATTGGATTTGTAGTTACATCTCCCAGACCTCCTGTGTGGGATTCTCAGAAACCTGGATACCAAATGATCGCTTCTCGGCCTACTCAACATTGGGGTGAAAATTCATTTGATGAACAATTCAATAGTGTAGTTGGTGGTTCAATGGGTTATGACAGACCTGGTGTAAATGGTCTAGCAAGACCGGCCGATTATGGTATTTCAAGACCAGATAGTTACGGAACTCAGAGACCAGTTGATTATGGATCTTCGAAACCAAGCAGTTATGGAACTCAGGGACCAGAAGGTAATGGTTCTCCGAGACCAGAAAATTATGGATCTTCTCGTCCGGGTGAATATGGAAATTCTCGTCCAGATGTGTATGGATCTTCTAGACCCAGCAGTGAAAGAGAAACATCAGACTATGGATCTTTCAGGCCGTACGTGGGGTCCATGAACAATATGGTATCAGATTACGGTTCTCAAAAACAGGAGTTTGATAAATTCAGTGGTTATTCAGATAACGATGGTGGTAGACCTCAAAGACCGGGATACAATAACGAAAGACCGTTTATGGACAGAAACGAAATTTATGGTTCACAACAGCAGACGAGTTCGGGATATGGAAAAGGTTACGCATCGAATTGGGACTATTATTCTAATTCCATGAGGTAATAATTAATATATACTAATCTTTAGGATTTTTATAGTTAGATATGCGTGTAGCAACATATTGAGTACATAACATACCTACTCTGAGACTGTCGGCTACCTTACAGATATAGCTCACAAGATGGGTGTAGATATTTAGTACTTATAGCTTATAGCATTATCGTGTGTCACCGTAAAATAAACACTTGATATTATGGTGTATCATAATCCATATGAACACTAAGTTGCAATTATTGCATTGCTCAGAACATGTGTCGTGTTTGATTTTATCGATATTTTTTCAATTCCAGTTTTTGTTATTGTAAATACGTGATAAACATGATAGTTACGAATAGATATCAGAAACGATTACCTATTATTATTCAAATATATACTATTTTCCCTTGACTCAATTTTGGTATGTGTATACACTTTGCAAGGTTTTTATTATTTTAAAAACTATAATAATATACTTTTTCACTATTATTATTGTTTTTTTTTTTTTTTTTTTTTTTTTTATCGAATACGAGATTCTTTTCGCGTAACATAAACAATAAAAGTTGAACAACCAACCAACGTCGGTCGGCAACCCGAAAGGTCAACTTGTAACACGTGTGTATCATCGGCCCAGCGGACCGTTAAATTTATGCTAGACAACAGGAATATTGTTATTATTATTATAATCGGGATGGTAGGTATATATTAATTTGAAATCAGAACCTTGAAATTATTATGAATTATTTGGATGAGTTGTTTTTTTTTTTGAAACATTCGTAATGCAAACGCTTGATATAATTTTGAAGGAATTATAAAACGATAACGGATGGTTTTGAAACTGTATCTGATCTGTAAGTTATGAAATTTCTGAATTGGTTTATGAAATGTTATAAATAGATAATGTAAAAATTGTTACCCGCGATTTTATCTCTATTAAAAGCAATTTACAGTTTTAAATTATCTATTGTAATCTCATAATGCGTAATTTAAAACATTGATTTACCCAATACTATATTGGAACTTTTATTATCAAACGTATTGTATTCGTCTGTTTATAATTTATTCCAATGTAAATTTTGTTTTCCATTAACCATATTCCACATTTTATTTTATTTTATTAGTGGTATACTTATTCAGAATTTAAATATTATTCAATTTTTGCGTTTATCGTTATTCAGAATTAAAATGTTTAATTTATAATTATTAAATAATTGGAAATTAATTATTTCATTTAATGATATACTATATTATAAAGTTTTGCGTAATGTCTTATTTGATGATATATCATACTCGTATATTTTGTAAATCGTTGTGTTTTATTTTGTGTTGTTTAATTATTTATGTTTATCGTTTTCTGTTATAATAACGTTAACAAATTTCAATCATTTTTTGTCAAATATTACGTTATTATAACGCTTGCAAGTTCTGCTTTTAATAAAATCTTAGTGATAACTAATACTCGGATTTCGAGTTTTAGCTGCTGAAATTAATAATTGAGATGTAGCCATAATTTTAACGTTAGCATATCATCATTATTTTTTTTTTACATTTACCTACGTATTTAACTTTATAAAAGTCTTTAACACGGTACTTACTGTGCACAATTTTGATCTAAAGTGTTTTGTTCGCTTTGTAGGGGACAGTTCAACAATGGATGGAACGACCAGCAGCAGGGCTACTTACAAAGGAGACCGGATGGCGATGTGTTGCAATCCGGATCGAGTTTCAGACCCTCCGAGTCCACTCCTCTACATTACAACGGGCATAGTGGGATCGGCGCATCAACCGACAATGGTTTCCTATACAGGAGTCCGTCGACGATTATTGGTTCGTCTACCACTCCTATGCCAACCACTAATAATTCATAAAAGTTTTCATATAAATCATAATTTAATTAATATGATTTTTAATCATTTAATTTTTTATTGATATTTAAGCCGTGTAATACAATAATACCTTCTTAGCGCTAATGGGATGAATAATATAATTATAACTAGTTATATTATTTTAATATAGATTAAAAAAAAATGTTTGCAACATATTTTTTTAAATTTTCTAATGTGGCGCAATACCATAATATGTGGTTAGTGACAATTAATTATTATATACGTACCTAATGTAAACAAATCGACAATTATTTAAACAATTATTTTAAACTAATTATACGTACTTACTACCTAGGTATAAACTATAAACATAATAATATATATATACTAGATGATTTAAAATAAATATCACAGCTATTTATCATAAAATATACAAAATAGAATAAAATATAAATAAAACGAAAGTTATTTTGTTAAGAAAAATCTAAAAAAACTTGAAAATTTTTAAAATCTTTTAAAGAAAGTTTAGAATCAATTTTTGAAATTTTGTGATTAAAATACATTATTTAAAGCAATTTAAAAATGTTATGAGCGTATAATAAAGTAGAATAAAGGTACTTAGCAAAATATTAGCTCACATATCTGCTCATCTAAAATTCTAAACTTTAAATAATTATGACTAATTAACTACCTACTAGTTAAAAATTTGATTTTCGAATTACATATTCCGAATAATATTCAGCTTTAGAATGTAAAATTATAAGTATATGTTATTAAAAAGAGTAAAAATTTAAATAATAATGATTAAAAATCGTAAATAATATTATATCTTTTTAAAAAATATTGTTTTGTAACAACTCAAATAGTAATGTAAAAACAAAAATATTGAAAAAAATGATACATATACCTAATATTTATATTATTTATAAAATAACTGTTAACATAAATTTTGAATTATCTGGTATATATAAATGGGTTATTAAAATTAAATATAGGTTCATTAAAGTCTAAAGATTTATCCTTGCCATAAGATCGGTTTATGTTTATACTTAATATTATCTTAAGAGTTGGTATTAATGATTCTCATTTATAATTTGTAGAAGTAATATGTATTGTACTATGTTTAAGTAATAATTACATCAGTGTTTCTTAAATTGTGTTCCGCGGAAAGCTGTGGCTTCATGAAGATCACTTCAAGGTGCTTAATTAATTTTTTTCAAAATTTCCAAGAAAATTATTTTAAAATATTTAACTAAAGATTAGTGGTGATTAGAGGGGTAAAAAAATATTTGTATATTACATAATAATATGTATGGTGTAGTCTGTAGTATAGATTCTATATTCTATAGTATAGGTAATCAATATATGAAATAATTTCAAGTTTTATCGAAATTAACCCTAAAAAAAAGCAAAAAAGCTAAAAAAAAAATAAGAGCTCCACGATAAAAGTAGACATCAAAAAGGGATAAAAATTTTTTAAAAAAAGGAGAATTATATTAAATACAATATTATGTTTATGATTGTAAGTATATAATATTATTATAAGCCATATTGAATATTTTAAAATGCTGTTTTGATATTGAAAATAAAATCTAATAAAAGTATAAAATAAATTACTTTAGACTGGTTTCATTACAAAACAGCTATTAAGTGAAAGATAATGATATTTTTAGAATCTGAACGGAGTGATGAATGTATTGATTTTACAATGATGTGTGATTTTTTTTTTGTGTCTGTGTACAGCATAAGTAGTCGAAATAATGCTTCAATTTCAAACTTTGGGGGTGGTTTCCGATGGCAAAGTGAATATCCTTCATGCATTATAGAGGTAAAAAGTAAACATTTAACAACAGTTTTCAAAAATTTTAAGTGTGTTTGAATTTTAAATTTTTACGAAATAGCGTAATAACGATAACAATTTATCTTCAAACGATTTTAAATATTTGTTAATATTCAAAAAGTATAAGTCGTAGATACTTGAAAGTTTTACCAGTTATTTAGATTGGTATTTTCTTTACATGATTTAATTTTCAAAATATTTTGACTTTTTTTGAGCTATTTATAGACAACTGAAATTTTTTTTTTTAAGTGTCTATAAAATATTTTTGGCCCAATTAAAATACTTTAAAATTTAATACAAAGTTTCTCATAAGTTATTCTTATAATGATCAAAAAATTTTAAGATACATAGGCACAATTTTTTTTATTAGTATTTTAAGTTCAAATATTGACAAAAATTCGTCAAGACCATGAATATTTGCAAACTATTTTGTAGGTATAATTCATAAAAATTAATAATTAATTGATAACCATGACTTTTTCAAATGCGTCCTAATTGAAAAATAAAATATTTGTTTCAAAATAGAATGTATGACAATATTTAAATATAATATATCCTAGACTAACAAATCATCTCCGTTCAGAATCGTTTTTCGTATACAATGATACTTATCATTGCATTCAAATTTAACCTACCCTAGTCCGAGGTTCACCCCACCCCCTAATGTACAGCAGAGCGGTACCCACTTGCCCGCTTTTTATTTTCGAAGTCATAGTAAATTTAAAAAGTTAAATGAAATACTACTTCTAATATTTTATTCTTTAGATTTTAGAATGATAACTTTAAAAAAATAAAATAATTTTAAATCATCTATATTTACTGAAATGAGTACGATCAATCATATATTATCTATCAAATATCTTCTTAATAATACTAAACATTTGTCGTTAGTGAATAAATTTTCTTTGCTTTAAGTAAAAATTAAATTAAATATAAAAATTAATAATATATTTATATATTTATTTAGGTATTTATCAATACTTAAGATATAATAATATATTAAGTGCAATGTTTTAAAATTTTAAAATTTAATGTTTCAACATTACTCGTTAATACCTACAATTATGTGATTTATGTTAGATCTAAAAAAATGTCTTAACATATAACTCTGTTAACACTTAAACAACTTTATTATATTATGTTTTAAAAATATTTATCATTATATTAAATGTATTTATAGAAAAAATGTATTTTATTATGTACATATAAAATTATGATTAATATTTAATACTATGTGAAAAATTTGTAGAAATAATTAAAATTAATCTTATAAGTATAATATTATGCACTTTTATTTTAAGTTTATAATAATAAGATAATTAATAATGTATATTCTATGTACGTAAACAATAAAATTATATAGCAATAAAAGTAAAAATTTTATTAGTATAATATTAATAACTGCCAAATTAAATTTCATAATATTGTTCGTTTAACTGTCTTATAGTAACATAAAAATTAACTCCGTTGGGATTATTCTAATACTATACATTATTATATATTACACCATTATGTTATTTGATTTTTATCCATAATTGTCCCAGGGGGTGTTTGCCCGTCAACAAATTGTAATACACATGTCTACATGAATATTACATAGTAGCATATGTATGTTTTTACAATAATTATTATTTTTTTGGATAAATTATTTTAAGCTTTAAAACGCTATTTCTTTGAATAACTTGATTGTAACAGGTCGTATACAATTTCGTCGCTGCACCATATCATTCACCGGATTTATTTATCGAGTATACTAAGTGAACTAGCTACGTTAAATGCATAACATTTATGTTATAGCTACTTTGTAAAAATGTAAAAAGTGAGACATTTTAAGTATTTAGTGCAACTGAATATGACTTAAAAGTTACAAGCTACATAATAATTATTTATATTTATATATATTATATAATATATAGTGTTTAATATTTAATATATACCCGCTATTTGGACAAAATGTTATCATTGACAGTATAGTTGCTTAAATTATAATACATGTACAATGCTGAAAAATGTGAATTAGTAAAAATGATCAGAAATAAGTACTAAACATTTTACCGAACACTTTATTTTTATCTTCTCTCCATATGCACACAATATGTTTGAATCTATGTTATCAACGTTACTCTATCTTTTAACTTTGAAATTTGTTTAGGATAAAACTTTACAGTTATAGCCTATAACTTATATAAGCTATAACTGTCAAGAAATAATGAATAATAATAATTATTATCATTAGTAATATAATGACTCCACAAACAAATTATCGACTAAATTTATATATTTTAACTTTGCATAGTATCTAAGCATTAACAGGGTTTTTATTATTTTTATTTTTCGTATTAAAAATACTGGTTTGATGATAAAAAGTTTTCATCAATGTTGTTAAAATTTAATATTGTGTTTTTATGTCACCTTAAAATAATTAAAAACTCGAAAAACTTTTTTATGAGAATCAATAACTATTATATTTACTTACCTACGCAAAACATTAAAAAAAATAATATTTCATTTCCTGTTCGGTTAAATAACTTTTAGATATGAAATAATAAAATATTGTATTTTAAACATTACAAAAGTTTTTCATAAGTTAAAGCAACGAATAGAGTAAAATTATCGAATATGCAGTAACTTGGTATGTATTCAAAATTTAAAAAATATAGGAAAATATCTAGAAATTATAAAAAAAGGGAAGAAATAATACGTATAAGCCATTTATAAATACATATACCTACCTAATACAAATTAAGTATTTGAAGATTTTTAAAAAAAGATAAATTATAATAATATGATACAATATAAAGCAGTGTTTCTCAAACTGTGGGTCGTCGGTAAATTTTTGGTAGGTCGCCAACAAATTTTAAATTATACAGATTCCAAGAAATGCATGTTAAATTAATATTAAATATATTATCATTAATAAAAGTACATTTGTAAAAATATATTGATTATAAACCTATACAATAATAAAAATAATAATTTAAATCTATAAACAAATTTTGTTAAAACAATTGAAATATATTATTATATTATATTATTTTAAATCAAAATTTTTTTTTTTATTTAACTACTTTTTGAAAAGTGAAACCATGTGGTTCACTAAAGATTTTTCGAGGGGAAATTTGGTTCGCGGTATTAAAAAAATTGAGAACCGCTGATATATAGTATAATAATTTAATTGAAAATTAAATTAACACTATTTTTTACAAAAAATAAACTATAATAAACAAGAAAGGTATCTGTAAAAAAATGGCCTAAGCATGGAAAA